GAATATAGAAAATAGAATGTAAAATATGTAGAATAGATAATAGAATAGAATATAGAAAATAGGATATAAAATATATAGACTAGGATAAAGAAAAGAATATAGAAAATAGAAATGTAAAATATATAGGATGGTAGAATAAAATAAATAGATTAAAAAAATATAGAAAATAGAATATAAAATATATAGAATACAAATAGTATAGAGCCGGAAGGGACCTTGGAGGTCTTCTAGTCCATCCCCCATCTCAGACAAGTGCCACTGTAACTTCAACCCGTCACTCAATGAACCGTTGTAAGACAAGGATCCACCTGCGTGTTGTAGGGAGCCTTTGCTGTCTAAAGTCTTAGGTGCATTAAAATAATGTTCATTATCAGAGGGAGGGAGGGAGATTTGATGCTCAAGGCAAGGGGCAGGCCTTAATTCCCCTCCCCGGTGTGTGCCTCAGTTTCCCCCGGTGTGTGTGTGTGTCGTAATGCCAAAAGGGAGGGAAGGACGAGAGGAGGATGGGGGAAAAGAAGGCTGGAAAAAGGAGGGAAGAAAGGAGAGAAACAAACAAGAGGAAGGAAAAGTAGCCAAGATCTAGCTATGTTTAGGCCTGGGGACAGAAGTGTGGTTTGTGTGTGTGTGTGTGTGCTTTGTGTTATTGCGCGTGTCAGGATGGTTGCAAAGTGACAGCTTTACAAAGAGCATCATGGCGGGGTGGGGGAGAGAGAGAGAGACAGCTCAGCGCTGTGGGGGCGGCTGGTTGCCGTCTGAGCGCCTTCCGTCGGAGGCAGGCACTTCCTCCAGGCTTCCGGTGGTGTGTGTGTGTGTGCACACGTTGCACCCTCACCCACACAGCCCCCCCCCCCAGGCTCCCTGGATGCAGCGGCTGGGCCCCAAGGCTCGGATGTGGGAGTGGGTGGGGGGAAGAACCCCCCCCCCAGCCCACCAGGTTTTTCTTCCAAGGGGTCTCCCTTCCTTCCTTCCTTGGGGTTGGACTAGAAGAGCTTTAAGGTCCCTTCCAACTCTGATATTCTGTTATTCTGCTTTCTTTCCTTCCTTCCTTCCTCCCTCCCTCCCTTCCCTTCCCTTCCCTTCCGTCCTCGGAGTTGGACTAGAAAACCTTTAAGGTCCCTTCCAACTCTGATATTCCTTTATTGATATTTTGCTATTCCTTCCTTCCTTCCTTGTATCTCCTTCCTTCCTTCTCACGCTCTCCCTTCTGTTCTCCTTTCTTTCCCTCCCTCCCTCTAGTCTCTCCCTTCTTCCCCATCTATCCTTTTCTTCCTTCCATTCTTCCTCCCTCTCTTTCTTGTTCCTCTAGTTTTTCCTTCCTTTCTCCCTTCTATCCCTCCCTTCTTCCCCTTTCCTCCCTCCCCCATCTATCTTTTCCTTCCTTCCTCTCTTGCTTCCTCCCTATTCCCTTTTCTTCTTTCCCTCCCTTCTCCTTTCGTCCCTCCCTTCTTCCCCTTCCTCCCCTCCCTTCACCATCTACCCTTTCATCCTTCCTCCCTCTCCCTCCCTTGTTCCTCTGGTTTTCCCTTCCTAACTTTCCTCCTTCCCTTTCTCCCTTCCTTCCATCCCTCCCTTTCCCATCTATCTTTTCCTTCCTTTCCTACCTTTCATCCTCCCTTCCCTTCCTTTCCCACCCTCCCTTCTTTCACTCCCTCGCTTTTCCTTTAGACCTTCCCTTCTCCATCTTTTCCTTCCTTCCTCCTTTCCCACCTTCCTTTCTTTCACTCCCTCCCTTTTCCTTTAGACCTTCCCTTCTCCATCTTTTCCTCCCTTCCTCCTTTCCCACCTTCCTTTCTTTCACTCCCTCCCTTTTCCTTGTCCCTCCCATCTTTTCTTTCCTTCCTTCCTTCCTTCCTTCCTTCCTTCCTTCTATCTCTCCCGCATCTATCCCGATCACACAATCATGGGGATGCGATGACAGTCGTTAAGTGGGAGGATCGGTGCTGTTTGTAACTTTGGTCACTAAACGAGGACGTCGAGGACTACTGAGGTGGCACCCCGTGGCAGGTGTCAAGACCCTCTCCAGGTGAGCTGGCCTCTCCAAAGGAAATCCACCTTCTTTTCGTCCACAGAAGACAGCGGAACTCCTGGACACAATCAAATCACTGTCTTTATTTCCAATAAGACTTTGTTTTATACAGCGGGCCCCCAAGAGGGGTAGAAATGGGGTCCAGTGGTTGCCCACACCCCCCCAAAATCCAGAGTTTTAGCTCCTGCCTGCTCCATTTGGGTTGTTGTTGTGTTTTTTTAAACTGGTCAGCCCATGGCAAGCTGGGCACTTCACCGAACCAGCCAGTCCCAGGTGCAGAAGTGAGAAAGATGGAGAGTGAAAAAGACAGAAATAGATAGAAAAATAGATGGGGGGGAAAAAAAAACCAGAAATCAGGATGAACAAACTTTTTTTGGTGGTTTGGGCTAATTTGGGTTAATGCAACCCCCCCACAAGGCTCTATGGCAGAAGTTTCCAAACTTTTTTTTAAGACTTGTAGACTTCAACTCCCAGAATTCCCCAGCCAGCAAATTGCACAACAAAGCCCACAATTTGTGGACTTCAACTCCCAGAATTCCCCAGCCAGCAAATTGCACAACAACACTCACAATTTGTGGACTTCAACTCCCAGAATTCCCCAGCCAGCAAATTGCACAACAAAGCTCACAATTTGTGGACTTCAACTCCCAGAATTCCCTAGTCTGCCATGCTGACTGGAGAATCCTGGGAGTTTAAATCCAGAAATCTTTAGAAGTTGTCAAGTTTTTTGGGGGGGGGGGGGGGGCATGGTTTAAACAACGCCACGTGGCGCCCTGTGGATTGAAATTCAAATTGTGGGGAAAAAAAACCAAAATTATTTTCGTTCTACTTTGGACGTTTAGATTCATGGCTTTATTTTTTTGAAGGGATTCAACAGAATCTTAAGGCTGGAAGTCCAACCCCCCCGTCCAAAATCCTATCCAATCTCTTCTTAAAATCATCTTTCGTCTTTGCCCGTGTGTGTGTGTGTGTGTGTGCCATCCTTCCTAGAGGATGTTAGATTGGCACAAGAGTTAAATCTCTTGCTCGATGGGCATTTAAACCCTGCAAAATTCTCCAGGCTCATCCCTCTCTATCTTCCTCTTTGGCTTCCAAATTAAAATCTAAATTTTTAAACCATTTTTAGGGATCCTGATTTAGTGGACGGGTGTTCGAACTCATGTAGGGCATTTGGCTTTATTCTTAATTTTATATATATATATATATATATATATATTTAACGAGAAGAAGCAGAGGAAAGTTGCCAAGGTAAGTTGATACAGGTTTGAGTGCTAAAATGGAATTTTTTTCCTGCCTGCTCCCCATTAGCGACCAAGACCTATTTAAAATGGTTTAATTAAAACAACGCGCAGCCACCCCAGAAGGCTGATACACGGAATAAATAATTTTAAAAACCCAAATAAATATTTTTGCCATATTATAAGGTTATATTTTGTCATTCTAAAAATTTTTGGGGAAATCTTAATTTTTGTATATTCATTACTTTGTACGTTGCCCCAGAGCCCCACTTCTGAGTTGGATGAGCAGTTTAAAAAAAAATAGAAAGTAGAAATAAATATTAAATAGAAGAATAAATATGAAATATAAGCGGCGCTTGCAAGGTTTACCAAGTGGACTTATCAACTCTGCTTCTCACAGTTTATAAAATGATAAAGCAAAAGGGAACTTGATCAATCAAGAAAAGAAATTATAATAATCCGTCGGTTTGTTTCTGTTTTTTCTTTTGAAAAACGAAGGCTGAGAAACCCCTTTTTCACTGAACCAGGAAAGCAAAACCTCCACAGCCAGGAGCAGTCTAGCAGAATAAGGCTATTGCTTTTGAGTTGGCTGGCATGTTTTTTTTTTTTTTTGGTTAAAAAATGAATAAATCTGGGGCCTGGATTCATAGTTCTCCCCGACTGGCTTTAAAAACCATTAAAATCAAATTAACTTGATTATCGCAGGAGGAGAGCTTTCTAATGTGAAAATGCACCGCTACCCACCTTTTCCTGAATGGAGAGATGCTCGTAATTTGAGGGGGAGAAAATGGGATGAAAAGGAAAAGGGAAAAAAAAAAATGAGAAGCAGAGGGAAGGAAGAGAGAGAGAGAGAGAGAGAAAGAGAGGCCGATCTATCGCCATAGCAACAGATACTGCTCTCAGCATCGCTTTGATGTCTGAGCATCCAGGAAGGAAAAAAAGAAGAAGATGGCAAGAAAACAGCCTGGGTGTTTTTTGCACACACACACACCCCAAAAAGAAACACTATGGGGGAGGAAAAAAAGAGGGGAGAAGACCCCCACCCCTACTCAAAATCTCACCCCAAGTCGACATCCTCCTCGATTAAATAGCTGCCAAATATCAGAATTTCCTGTGCATTTCTGGTCCTCGTTCTTATGAGAAATGGACTTTTTTGCCCCCTCCCCCCCCCAGACTACCCAAAAAAAGGGGGGGGGGAGGAACTCAAAGGTGGGCTAAGGTAGGAATCGGTCCAACCCAGGGAGTGGAGTGAAGATTAGAGGGTGTGTGTGTGTGTGTGTCCAAATCCGTTTGTGGACTTCCTCAAAAGTTTGGCGTTGGATGCGTGCGTCCGGCCAGAGAAAGGGTGCTGGCTTTGTTCTCCAAGTCCTAACCGGTGTGTGTGTGTCTTGTGTTATTGTGTGTGTTGTCGAGCACAAGGAGGGAAGAGCGCTTCTCACCCCTCTGGAGTGGAAAAAAAAATAAAGGGGGAGAGAGAAACAGCCGTGGTGGATTTCCGGCTAGTACGGCTTCCGTCAGGCACCGGTGGGTCCATCTTGGTTTAGCGTTTCGGCCTCCAGGAAGAACGTTGGTTGGGTAGGTGGGTGTCTCGATTCATCCGGGAGGAACCAAAGGCGGGGCTTGGGGGGGGTAGCGGGAGGTCATTCAGAGGGTCCTGCCCCTTCTGTTGGCGTGGTTAGAAACTCACCAGGGTATAAACCATACTGGACGGACGAGAGGCAGGAAAGGAGGGAGAGAGAGAGAGAGAGAGAGAGAGAAAGGACTGTTATTATGGGATCCATCCTGAAGGGTCGAGACGGTCCTCGGTTTACGGCCACCATCCAGCTCAACATCTCTGCTGCTGAGCGAGACATTGGTTAAGGGAGGGGCGCCCCACTGTACGGCCTTTTCTTGCCCACTGTCAGTAAATGAATCACGGCGGTTAGATTTAGTAAGAAGGTTGTTAAGTGAATCTAATCTGGCTTCTCTCTTGGTTTATCTGGTCAGAAGGTCACAAAGGAGAAGGAGGGAGTTGCTTCCCTCTCTTTTCCTCCTTCCTTCTTTCCCTTCCTCTTCCCTTCTTCCTTCCTTTCTCCCTCTTTTCCTCCTTCCTTCTTTCCTCCCTTTTTCCTTTCTTCCTTCTCCTTTTCCTTCCTTTCTCCCTGTCTTGTCCTCTTTCTTTCCTCCCTCCCTTTTCCTTCCCTCCTTCCCCGTCCTTTTTCCTTTCTTCCTTCCCTCCCTTTTCCTTCCTTTCTCCCTCTCTTGTCCTTCCTTCTTTCCTCCCTCCCTTTTCCTTCCTTCCTCCTTCCCTCCCTTTTTTCCTCCCTCCCTCCCTTTTCCTCCCTTTCTTCCTTCCCTCCCTTTTCCTTCCTTCTTTCCTTCCTTCTGTCCGTCTGTCCATCCATCCATCCTTTCTGTTGTAAGTCAAGAATTATCTTCATTTGTGGCAGTGTTTCTGGATACTTTGGGATAAAATAAATGGGTAAAATTTAAGCAACTATGGAGAGACCTGTAAAAGTCAGGACTCACCTGTACAGGTAATAGAAGAAAGACAACAGATAAAAAGCCAGTTTGCACCATGATTCTTTCTGGCAATAATTTAAGATGTCAGCATTCATGATAGAGACGGCATCGTACATGACTTCTGAACCATCTGCCGGGCGGTGAAAATACCTGCAAGAAAGGAAAGCGGACAAAAATCGATAAAATAATAATAATAAGGGCTGGTAAAATGTCCAGTTTGACCAATGGTGATCTCAACTGGCTAATTTTTTACCTCAAAATGGCTGTGAACTCAAAATGGCCAGTTTTGACCACAAAACGACCAATTCTGACCACAGAAAGACTAATTTGTGACTTAGAATGACCAATTGTAACTTCAAAATGACCAGTTGGGCCTCAGAATGACCAATTACGATTTCAGAATGATTTAATGTAAGCTCAAAATGACCAATTTGGCCTCAGAATGACCAACTGTGACCTCAAAATTACCAATTTGGCACTAGAATGACCAACTGTGACCCCAAAATGACCAACTGTGACCCCCAAAATGACTAATTGTGACCTCAACATGACCAACTAGGACTTCCAACATGGCCAATTCTGAGGGTTCCACCTCAAAAGGAAACCAAAGAATTTGGGGGATTTGATCAAATCTCACCAAATCAACCCTCAGACAGAAGGATGAGAAAAAAAAAAATCCCTGTTGATTTTCAGGGACATTTTTGTAAATTTAGGATTTAATTGGATTCCTTCTATTTAATAATGCCCAGTTTCTCTTCCACAGCCCGGAATCTCACTCCCAAAAAATTTTTTTAGAAGGATATCCCAGCTGCTCTTTTTTTTAGAAGCAAAACGAGCTATTTTGATATATAGATAAATATATACGCATATTTACCCCACTAAGGTCTATTTTTTGCATACCGCAACAAATAAGGACATCGACATTGCCAATTGACGTCTAAACCACCAAATAACATCTGTTAAACAACATTTCCAACTTTTTTCTCACTTTCAATAAAGGCATGCAAATTTTTGGAATAGAAGCGTCTACAGGTAAGTCCTTGTTTTACAACAATTCATGAAGTGACTTGTTTGAAGTTACAATAATACTGAAAAAAGTGAATTACAATCCAGCCCTCTACTTAAGAGCATCAAAATTCAGGTGATTGGCAATTGGAACGTCTTCCTTCCCCCCTTCTTTTCTCTTTCTTCTTCCCTTCCTTCCTTCCCCTTCCTCTTCCTTCCTTCCTTTCCTTCCTTCCTTCCTTCCCCTTTACTTTCTCTTCTTTCCTTCCCCCTTCCTCTTCCTTTCCTTTCTTCCCCCTTCATTTCTCTTCCTTCTTTCCTTCCCCTTCCTCTTCCTTCCTTTCCTTCCTTTCTCTTTCTTCTTCTTTCCTTCTACCTTCCTTTTTTCTTCTTCCTTCCTTCCCCTTCCTTTCTCTTTCTTCTTTCCTTTCCCCTTCCTTCCTTTCTTCTTCCTTCCTTCCCCTTCCTCTTTCTTCTTTTTCTTCCCCTTCCTTTCTCCTTCCTTCCTTCCTTCCTTCCTTACCCCTCCTTTCTGTTGTTCCTTTCTTCCTTCTTTCCTTTCGTTTTCTGCCCCCATCCTTCCTCCAAGCAAGAGATTTGTCCTGAACAAAATGCAAATTTTGAAAGGAGATTTTGGATTAAATACCCCTCAACAAAAGGGGGATTGTTACTTTTAATGTGTAGCTCGAATGGGTTGAGTTTTCCTTCCTTAGGATACACAGGGGATCAGTTCTGTAGTCCAAATCACGAAAGAGTTTTTTTCCTATGGTTGCCACCTGACTTTGTCCTCCTAAGATTTGGCTGCCGATTCTTTTGACGGTTTCACAGCCCCTCTTTGAGACCCCTCCCCACCTGCCCTCCCAGCCTTAAGACGGAGCCCCTCAGAGGTCAGAAGCGCAAACGGAATGAAAGCAGAGAGAGGAAGAATTCGGATCTGCAAATGGGCTAGAAAGCCACTTCGCCCCAAACCAACCAAGGAGCAAGACGGGGTGGATTCGGAGCCATGATGGCTCATTTGATTTGGGGCATTGGGTCAGAAAAGAGGGAGTGAGGAAAAGAGGGAGCGAGGCAGAGGTAAATGGAGAAGGAAGGAAGGAAGGAAGGAAGGAAAGAAAACTGGAGAGAGGGAGGAAAAGAAGGGGAAGGAGGGAGGGAAGGAAGGAAGAAGGAAGAGAAATAGGAAGGTAGGTAGGAAGGATGGGAGCGGGAAGGAAGGGATGAAGGAAAGGAAAGGAAAAGAAAGAGGAAAGGAAGGAAGGAAGGAAGGGAGTCAGACTGTGATGGCAAATGAGATTCTGCCAAAACGTTGCTACAACTTTAAAAGCACAACTATAATGACGTGGGAAAATACCTGAACACAGCTGAATACCATATCTATCTATCTATCTATCTATCTATCTATCTATCTATCTATCTATCTATCTATCTAACTAACTAACTAACTAACTATCATCTATCTATCAATTGCAACTGCACCTGATGGCTGCCGGTGGGAGAGATAAGGTGTGGGTGGGGAGGGGGCTTCCCTCTTACCTCCACAGGTGGTAGAACAGGAGGGGGATGTTGAGGCCCAGAGTCACCCATTCAGCTGCACAGAGAAACATCAGGCAGAAAAGGCCATGGATGGAATATTCTGGAACCACGAGCTGTCGGAGACAGAAAAATTCAAATATTCCCACTCCCATCCCACTGGATTGCAAACAGATGAATTTTTACTGTGTGGTTCTATTCTTACGGTTTGCAACTCCTTCGACACACAAGCCATTATCCTCAGAAAAATCTCCCGGGGCACAATCGCCCAACAATACCGTTCCTTTCTCCTGCACGAAAAATCCTTCTTTTTATAAACGGATTTATTCGATGCTCCGTTTTTTTTCCACGATTCTAATCGGAGCAATCTTGACAGCCTTAGCGAAAGGGATACTTGCAGAGATGCCTCGTTCGACCCCCCCCCCCCCCCATAAAAGGATTAATTTCTCCCTCGTTTTATTTATTTAGGGCTCGCATAATTAGCGAGGCAACTTTTAATCTTGTTTTTAGAAAAACAAACTTGGGTAGGAAAGATGAGAGAGAGAGAGAGAGAGAAATGGAGAGAGAAAGAGAGAGAGATGGAGACAGAATGAGGGGGAGAGAGAAAGAGAAAGATGGAGAGAGAATGGGAGATAGATGAAGACAGAATGAGAGAGAGAGGGAGAGAGACAACGAGAGGGGGGAGAGAAAGAGAGGGAGATGGAGACAGAAAGAGAGAGAGAGATGGAGAGAGAATGAGAGTGTGATGGAGACAGAATGAGGGAGAATGAGTGAGCGAGAGAGAAAGAGATGATTGAGAGAGAGAGAGAGAGAGAGAGAGAGAGAGGGAGAGGGAGATGGAGAGAGAGACAGAGAGAGAAAATCAACCTCAGATTTTATACTTATTAATAGTCACTGGCTGACTAATGAATTCATGACGATTGCATGATCAGCCCAATGTTTTATTGTCAGGTGTCACAACATCTCTGCCATAAATCTAAGATTGGATAGGTTTGAAATGGGAATGGCGTCAAATATTTCCCGATCAGAAATTGCGATCTGAACTAGTTGACATTTGGTTTCTAAGCCCAATCTGCTTTTGCAAAAAGAAATGGTAAGGAAAGAAAAATGCAATACGACAAGGCCAAAATAATATTGCAATGTATAAAAGTGTGAAAAAAAGAAGGCAACGTAAGAATGCAATATAAGTCAATATAAGAATGTAGCATAAGATACAATATTGCAATAAAATAATGCAATATGTCCTAAGAATGCAGCATAATAATGTATTATGTATTATAATAATGCAATAAAAGGATGCAACGTAAGGCAATATAAGAATGGAACATAATATATTACAATGCAGGAGAACCTATATCATTTCAGACAAGTGACTGTCTAGTTTCTTCTTAAAAACCTCCAGTGATGGGGCACTTGTGATTTAAGAGTAAATCTTAAATATATTATAAGATATAAGAATGCAATATAAGAACACAGAATAATAATGTATTGTAATGCAATAAAATACTGCAATATAAGAGTGCAGTATAATGCAATAGAAGAATGCAGCATAATGTATAGAAGAATGCAATATAATACATAATGCAACATAATACAATATAAGAGTTCTGCGATGGTGATTATTCTGGCAGCCTTTCCAAGATAGAAGGGGTCAAATTAAAGGGTAAAATTTGGCTTTTGTTACCCCTAACAAAATTAATCCATTTGGTGCCCAAACTGAAAACTCTGAGCAAAACAACGCTGAGAATCTCTATAACCCCAATGCACGAGCCGCTTCCTTCCTTCGTTTCAGTTTAATTTAGACTGACGGGAACAAGCTGCAACAGATTGGAGAGGAAGAGGCTTCACTTTGTACCGTGTGTGCATGTGCACAAAGCCACACTTCCAGACAAGAATAACCCTTGGCGGTGGACGCCCCCCAAACACCCTGGGGGCTTAGAGCTCGTTTTAGCAAATCAGAGCTTTGTGAAGAACAAGGGAGTGAAGCCGCATCTGATGGATATTGTACTTGCTTTGGAGAGCGGGAGACGGAGGGAGGGAGAGAGAAGGAAGAACAAGATGGATGGATAGATGGCTGGAGAGAGAGAGAGAGACAGAGAGACAGAGAGAGATAAAGATAGGAGATGGGTGAATGGCTAGAACAGATGGACAGAAAAGATGGATGGAAGGAGAAAAGGGAGAAAAGCTAGGGATGGAGGAAACAGAAGTAGGTAGAAAATAGATGGATGATGGCTAGAGAGAAAATATAGATAGATATAGATGGGATAGATAAAGAGAGAGAGAGAGAGACAGAAAGTGGGGAAGAAAGGAAGGAAGGAAGGAGAAAAATCAGAGGAAGGGAGAAAACAAGAAGAAGATAAAAGATGGATGGATGATTGCTAGAGAGAAAATATTAGAAAGATGATAGGTAGGAAGGTAGGAAGGAAGGAAGGAAGGAAGGAAGGAAGGAAGGAAGGAAGGAAGGAAAAAACAAGTAGAAAATAAAAGAGGGATGGATGATGTCTAGAGAGAAAA